AAGGGAGGACTCCACAACCATCTGGAGGAGGAGAACTTCACATCTCGTGAAGATCTCTAAGCGCTGCAGAGCCTATCGGACCCAGCACGTACCTTAAGAAGGCTATAGGGATCTGATCAACGTCTGGCCTCTCCCCGTCGCCAAACGATCCCTCGACGAACCCCTTCCCTGCGCGCAAGTTCCACGGAGCCTAGCAAACTTCGTGTGAGTGTATTCAGAGCTCTTTGCTTCGAGTTACTTTCTTCGGTTGACACGACGGGCTTGTGGTTTAGAGCTTTCAACCGGATTGGGCTAGAAGTTTCATGGGAAGGAACTCTAGTCCGCCTCTCTTCTTTTCTGTCTGTAACTGCAACTCAAGCAAGTTTTCCTGCCTGCACTGCGACCATCTTCGGTGTAAGTAAAATAATCTTAAATCAACCACTAAGCGTTCGTGCCTAATTCTAGCGTGCCGCCTGCCTTCCCCAACCCGTGTCCGGGTTGCTGGCCACAGCCCGCCGTGCGAAAACCCCCCCCCGAGGGCCTCAGACTGCTCCCGGCTCACACATTATCCTATTTTTTGCCACCAAAAATTGATTTTTTTTTGGCTGCTCAACATGGGTATTGACGGCAAAAAAGATGGAGTGACATCTCTCTCCAGCAATGGTGAGCTCTGGCTGCTGCTCCTGCCATGCTGCCCCTGCCAGAACCCTGGAGTCAGAGCCCTGTAAAGAAAATACAGGGGGCGGGGGGACTACCCAGGGTGCAGTCTGGGCCAGTTTTACCTCTGCTGCTGTGTTGTGTCAAACATGTTACTTGTTTTCACTTCTGGGGCCATTTATTATTGAGACATTGACTTATGCGTCCACTCGCCCCACAATGCCAGTTTCTGTTGCCAACTCAATACAATTTTCAAACAAGCACCTTTGTGCTTTCTCCCAGGGGGACCTTCATACTTTGGAGGAGCTCTCAGACATAAGCCAAGCCATTCATTCTCTTTCTTCAAAACACTCTAATACAGGGCAGCCGTGATGCCCTCCCATGATTAGAGAAGGCAGACGGACTGTGGGGAACAGGGTGTATTACCTGCAGGGGGGAAGGAAGACAATAAAACTAGCTAATAAGCAGAATCAGCCTTTTGATTCCTG